CAAGATATTATAAGATTCACTTGTTCTATATTTTTTATTTAAAGTAACATACTGTACATATACTGTACTGTAAGCAAGGACGTAGAGTATGTAATTACCTAAGTAATTACCTAAGTGTAGTTAAAGGATGAGAGCTATGCTCGTGGTGTCCCATCTCCCCAGCACTCTTTTGTCATTTAACGCTTTGAAATTGCTGACGGTTTTGGCCTCACCACTTTTTCACCTAACTAGTTCCAACCGTCTACCACTCTGTTTACATAAGTGAATTTTCTTATATTTCTCCGGCAGCTTTGTTTCATTGATGTCAATGGGATATACTGCTTAAAAGCAAGATGTCCCTGTAAAAGGACTAGCGGTTCATCAATCACAACATTCTGGCCTGGTACAAAGTAATCACAAAATTTTCCTCTGATATCACCGAACACTTTTCTCACTTTCCAAGGTCACTCATTTTGATCCACATTTGCATTGTTTTCAAAGTGTAGGCACCTTAGAAATATCGGGAACCTGTCTCGTGACACGTACTTGTTGAAAACTGGGCTTAGAACGGCGCTGTCTTTGTTTCAATAATCCTGCATGACGTGCTTCATGTGACTTGAATTATGAAACATTTACAGAATGTATCATCAGCATACACAGTGTCGGGAGGACACTTTTCTGCTATGACAATGCTCTGCACATTTGCAGAACTGACTAGTGGACTGGCAGGAATTCTAAATTCAAGAGTTAAACGTACTAAGTCAGAACACACTTCACAACGGTCCCTCTCTTACAGGGATTTTCAAATTAAACTATGGAGCAGTGCTTAAACCAAATATAATGGTTTAACCTTTCCTTCTGTATTTCCCTGGCTTTGAGGGCAATGATTTATCAGTATAGTACAGTATCCGTTTGGGGGGGGGGGGTAGAATTCTGTTAGCCTTATTGCAGTCTCTCTAGATAAAGGAATGGCAGTACCAAAAAGTACTAGCTAAACAGGAGGATAGATTGGGTTCTAATAGGTTATCTTGAGGAGATTTCAGGGCTTACCGTCCCCAGGGCCCAGTCCTCGACCAGGCCTCCTTTTTGTTACACTCCCCCTCCCCCCTAGCAGCTATCTAACTCCCAGGTACCTATTTACTGCTAGGTATCAGTGGCATCCAGGTGAGAGAAACATTTTGCCCAATTGTCTCCTCCACCGGGGATTGAACTCGGAACCTCAGGACTACGAATCCGAAGCGCTGTCCACTCAGCTGTCAGGCGCCCTAGGTGTTCATCCTCCCTGTACAAACCACCTGGATATTCATCTAGATATCTGTCATGTACTGCAGGCTGATTAGGACTCTATTAATAGTCTATTGGTCAACTGGCAAGTGTACTTTTGTCCTAATCAGAGATTATTCTCAAGTATATTCTCTATATTATTTTATACCCAGGACTTACAATTGACAGTCTTTATGAGTCAACTGCATGCTTTACTGGTACATGCTTTTCTTTAATGCCATATTCTTGGATACTCAAGCAGGCAAGAATTTGACATGTTTGAGACTGCAATACACTGGCAATACACCTAACCGAGCCTAACCTTAAGCTAACGTTAATTTAACACTTTGGCGTACCCCGCGCGCCACCCCTCAACTGTGCGATTTGGGTCCCAGGGTGTCATGGGAGCACGCGTAAATTCTGAAAAGTGTATACTCTCTTCAACTTTGTCACCTTAATTCTCGTCCTACGAGATTAAATTTGGTATCATTGTGTTCGCAATAGAATTCTCTACAGCACTAAATGCATATAAACTCCAAAAGCCCGGCTAATTACCCGCAGCAAACAGAGAAAGTGCGAACGAGTTACCCAGGAGCGCACAAACGAGATAAAATGTTTTCACTATTTTCACTCTGGTCACCTCAATTTTCGTCCTAGGTCTTTCATTTTGGTCTCAATGGGTTTGCAATAGAATTCTCTACAGGAACATTTGCATATAAAATAAAAAACCTGGTCACGCTCCAACCGCCGACGAGTTGAAGACAGGCCACGTGTTAGCCGCGAGTGAGCGCTCAGACGCCTTCCAGCTACACTCCCAATTCCCGCCCTTTTCAAGCCTTTCTTTCGCAATTTTCTTCCTGGAAGGGCCTTGTTCATGATCACTAACCATCGTGGAGTAAGCGTAGATAGTTTCTAAAGCCGCAGTAAAAAATATAGCCACGGAAAATAGCCAAAATATTCACACGTTTGAGATGCGAGGGGAGGTGACATTGGTCACAACAGTGAAGCGAAAACAATGGGCCAACGGCATGTGCCGAGCTGCCTGCGGGCCACAAGGCGCAACAAGGAAAATGGGAAGACATCGGCGTGCATTTTAAAACCAGTCCTAAAAAAATCAGATAAAAGCCTGATTTTTGGCGATTATTTAAAGTGGATGACGCAATGCTGCGTCATCCCCGGCATTACCGACAGTAAACGGATGACGCAATGCTGCGTCATGCCCGGGCGAAAGTGTTAACCAAGGAGAGGATTTACATTACAGCACTTGTTATGTAGCGCATTTTGGTACTACAGTGGTACCTCGGTTTAAGAGTTTAATCCGTTCCTGGAGACAGCTCGTATTCCGAAGCTAATTTCCCCATAAGAAATAATGGGAATAATTATTAATCTGTTCTAATAATATAGGCTAATAATTAATCTGTTCCTGAGTACCCCAAAAAACCCACATCAAACTAAATTTTTATACCTAATTCATCTAAATAAACCTACGAAACTATGTTCAAGTTATTACTTACCCTTGTTGTTGAATCCTGTAGGCGTATGGAAGATGGTGAGGAGGGGGAGGAGGAGAGGAGTTACTGTTTGGAAGGGGAGTCCCCTTCCATTATGACATCAGGCAGTGAGGACCTTTCTGGTGTGCACTCCCTGGCACGTTTTGCCTGAGTACCACTAGGTCCTGGTTGTGGCTCAGTGCTCGATTTTCTCACAACAAATCTGTCCATGGAAGCTTATTTTTCCCTTCTTCGCAAGGTGTCTCTGTAGTAAGGCATCACATTGTAATTGAAAAGATTAAGGCAACGGCCTACTACAGCTTTCTCTGGGTGAGTCTTTTCAATAAAAGTTTGAATCTCTTCCCACATCTGACACACCTTCTTAATTTCTCCAAAAGGGACATTCGCTACTGCCACCTCCTCCTCCACTGGAGAATCATCAGGTGCGTTGTCTTGCTGTTCCTGTTGAAGGGCTTGCAGTTCTTCGGTGGTCAGTTCTTCGTTGTGTTCTTCCACCAACTCCTCCACATCATCACCATCCAATTCCAAGCCCATTTGCCGGCCCAGAATAACAATTTCCTCAACAATAGGCGCATCATTTACAGGCTCAAACCCCTCAAAGTCTATTTCTGTCACACATTCAGGCCACAATTTTCTCCGGCCAGAGATCAGGGTTCTTTGAGTCACTTCTTGCCAGGCTTTGTCAACAAGTTTTAAAGCACTACAAATGTTAAAATGGTGTTTCCATAACTCTTTGAGGGTGAGGTTTGTGGCTTTAGTCACTTCAAAACATTTCCAGAAAAGTGCCCTTTCATAAAGTTTCTTAAAATTTGCTATGATTTTCTGGTCCATAGGCTGAATTAGAGGAGTGATGTTAGGAGGAAGGAATTTAACTGTGAGGAACTTATTGTATCTGGGTAACAAATCATCTTCCAAGCCTGGAGGATGAGCAGGAGCATTGTCGAGGAGAAGCAGGGCCATGAGTGGCAAATGTTTCTCCTGCAGATATTTTTTTTATGGCAGGGCACACCACTTCATTCACCCACTCCAAAAAAATAAGCCTAGTCACCCATGCTTTTTTATTAGACTTCCACATCACACACATTTGAGTTTTCTGCACTTTATACTGTCTGAAAACCCTTGGATTTTCAGAATGATACACTAGCAAGAGTTTAATTTTCAAATCGCCACTCGCATTTGAACACAGCACAAGCGTAAACCTATCTTTCATAGGCATGTGTCCGGGCAAGGATTTTTCCTCCTTGGTAATGTATGTCCTCTTAGGCATTCTTTTCCAAAACAGTCCTGTTTCGTCACAATTAAACACTTGTTGCGGTAGGTATCCCTCAGCCTCTGCAAACTCTTTAAATTCGTCAATAAATTGTTCAGCGGCTGGTTTGTCTGAGCTGGCTGCCTCTCCATGCCTTGCAACACTATGGATACCACTTCTTTTTCTAAATTTTTAAACCAGCCCCTGCTTGCCTTAAACTCTTTCGTATCTGCATCACTCGTTGCAAGGGTTTTCTTTACAAGGTCTTCGTGCAATACCCTGGCTTTCTCACAAATGATGGCTTCCGAAACACTATCACCCCTTAATTTTTTGTCGTGTATCCAAATTAATAACAACTTTTCCACTTCTTCAAGTATTTGTGGTCTTTGTTTCGTCATTGTTCTTACGCCTTTTGCCACTTTAGCACTTATAATCTCATTTTTCTTCTTAAGTATAGTGCATATTGTTGATGTGGCTTTATTGTACTGCCTACAAAGTTCAATAACACGTGTACCATTTTCATGCTTCCGAATGATCTCTTGTTTCTCCTCTATTGTCATCCTCACATGGGCTTTCTTGCCTTGATCCTTACCACTGGCTTTCTTGGGACCCATGGTGAGATATATAATAACAACTTTTATGGTCAAATGACCAAAAATCCAACAAAATACTGAAAATCCGGGTGAAGAATTGATGTGGGATAGTCACTGGGCGCGAGACACTGGAAAACTGAGGGGCGGAGGGGCGACGATCGCCGTACCACCACGCACTAGGTCGGCCTGAATGCGTATCAACAAACTCGCGTTCCGAGGTAACCCTTGCCTTCCGAGGCACATTTTCCGAGGAAATCTGGCTCGTATTCCGAAAAACTCGTATACAGGGACACTCGTATTCCGAGGTACCACTGTATTTTGGTAACGTGAGATTTAATATTGTTGATATTAAAAGAGTTAAATAATGTATATTTAAATTATATGAAAAACATTAAGAGTGACAACCTTTTGAGCACCGCCTGAGAGAGTAGAAAGCTTCTGCGTGATGAGAAGATCCAATAGCTTGCATATGTACCGGAAACGTCTGATGTCGTGAACAGCATTGATGAAGTCTAACTTTTTTAAAGTTTCACCCAAGCCATTAAAGCCAGCTACCTGTAAAAGAATAAAGAATTGAAAGTAGCCTATTCAGGTATTAGATAATCTGAGTTGTTAAACAAGCTCCACAAGGCTGCCAACCTCACTGCCTAGCAAACTTTGCCATTAGTCTAGGTAAGTGGGTCTCTCTGAATGAAGGTACTGCAGGCCATAGTTTGTTCTCTTCACCGCCTTCAAACATTTGTACTCATCTAGTTGTACTTGTGAGGGTTGAGCTTCGGCTCTTTTGGTCACGTCTCTTAACCGTCAATCAACAGATGTACAGGTTCCTTAGCCTATTGGGCTCTATCATATCTACACTTGAAACTGTGAACAGAATCAGCCTCCACCACATCACTTTCTAATGCATTCCATTTATTAACTACTCTGACACTAAACAAATTCATTCTTATGTCTTTATGGCTCATTTTGGCACTCAATTTCCAGGTGTGTCCCCTAATGTGTGTGCCCCTTGTGTTAAACTGTCTTTGTCTACCCTATCAATTCCTTTGAGAATCTTCTAAGTGGTGATCATGTCCCCCCCCCCCAACTCTCCTGTCTTCCAGTGACGTGAGATTTAATTCCTGTAGTCTCTCCTCATAGCTCATGCCCCTCAGTTCAGGCACTAGTCAGGTGGCAAACCTCTGAACCTTCTCCAATTTAGTTTTATGCTTGACGAGATATGGATTCAATGCTGGAGCTGCATGCTCCAGCTTGTAATATTCTCATTTATGTCATTGATATATTGTATATGACATTTGACTACATAATGTCATGTACATGTATTGTGCCTGCTAAGTTTTGTTAAACTACCATTCAAGCTGTCATTGCAATCATTCTGTGCTACCTATGTGTTATAATATACCTACAATTTTTCTCTCATCTTTTATTTTTTTCATGCTATGTAACTGTTATCATTTTTATACATTTTGCAAGTATATATAAGTTTCTACTTATAAGTTTCTTAGATTAAGGACCTGCCCGAAATGCTGCGCGTACTAGTGGCTTTACAAGAATGTAATTACTATGCTATGTATCCTCATAATCCCAATGTACCTTCTTGTTTATATATAAATAAATCAATAAATCAATAAATAAATAAATAAATGTGTGGGTATTGGGATGTTGTCTAATCTCTCTAGTGTCAACATTGATGTATTCCTTCAGATCATTTGTTGCCAATTTGTTGATGATCAAGTTATAATCATCTATGATAACTTGATTAGTCACATCTTTTAAGGGTTCTACCAAGTCCTTTGTTTTGGTTTTACTTCTTATATAAGCATAGAAAGACTTTGGATCTGTCTTTATTTTGGGCAAGTTTTTTCCATAGTTTCTTTTAGCTGATATGATTTTCTGGGTGGCTAAATTTAAAGCCCTTTATATCTCATAGTCCATATTGTTCTTCGTGGATTTATACCTTCTACAGAGGTTCCGCTGAGTTATTAGAGCTTTTCCTGGGGGAAAGCCCCGTGTGGCTCCCTGAAGCTACTATCTCTGATGAAGGTGCCATCTACCAGGAACCATCAGTTGTGGAGTTCTACAGCCTGCCAGGGACTAAAAGCCAGAGCCTGGTCCCCCTTACGGAGGCACAGAGCTGTGGCATTTAAATATTAAGTTATTCATTTATGCCACCACCGCTGGGAAAGACACCCAAAAAGTCAGCAAGTCAAAACAAACCACTACTGGCTGCAACTGAGACCTGCAGCCTTGAAAACTGCCATAGAACTCCCCAAACAATGTAGACAGATGATAGAAATTGTTATAAAACTAGCGTTGGCTCATTGCCTCCATCCAACTACCTCATTTAGGGGGATGAGGGGGGCAGGCCACAGCCCACAAGCTGCTCCACTGTCAGTTCTACTCTAATGTGTAGTTGGTGTTGGGTCTGCCTCTGTTACTGTGGTTCACATTTATTTTTTTGTTTTTTTGTGCCTTGGCTCCTGCACATTTGGGTGGTGTGGGCCAGGAGTTTAGAGCACCTGGAGCGGTGTGTTCAGGGTTCCCTTCCCAATGCCCTCCCTAATGCTCCCCTAACGCTGCCAGGGTTTTCTTCCCTGGAGCGTTCAGGAAGGACTCCTTTAGAGGTCTGCCTTGCTTGTGGTGGCCTTTGCTTTTGGGCAAGTCTGGTATCTTTGGCATCTGTCTTTCCCTAAGTTGGAGCATCCTGGATGGTGGGGTGCACTGTGCACTGGTGTTACATGTGCTGCACTTGAGCATGACAAGGTAGGTTTTTCCAGCCATCTTAGCTAGGCTGGGTTAATTTACATAGTGCTTTTAAGAGTAAGAGTGCGTGTTGGATTAGTGACATCTTCGGTGCTGATTTGTGCAGGTAGTGCTCCTGTTACATTACTCTACCTACTAGCCCTGATAACGATGCTTGGACATGTAACGACCACTCTTTGTGTGAGGTTTTCTGTGTTACAGCAGTCTAGATTTGGCACCCAATTGGATGTCCTGGGTGCATCCCAGGGCATCCAATCACCACTTGGCTTTTAGGCAAAAGCACCACCTGGCTTTTAGTAACCTGGATTTGGAGGTATTAGTCAACTTGGCCTTGGCTCTGTAGCGAGTTAATCTTATACTCGCTCCATTATCTCATTATCTTAATAGCATAACTAATTGGCACTAATTACAGAAGCTACAATCCTTTCCCCAATTACAGCTAATACTCTTCTCACCTTGTTGGAGGAAGCTGAGGTGTAATTACCATATAAGCAACGATTTGATGAATAGAAAACAGTTCAAATTCCACAGTCAACAATGTAGCACTCGGAGTGTACAGTCCTGGTCAACCCGGGACGCTTCAGCTTCGACACAGAGCAGACAGCAGACTACGACCGCATCGAGCCGCCATGCTCTCGCTCCCCGAGTTCAGACACTCACAATTCTCAATCGAGCCGCCACGCTCTCCCACATAGAGCTCCACAACTCCGGCCTCACTCAGCTCTCTGCTCTGCTCCAGGCTTCGTCTCAACGTCTACAACACTGCTGTATCCAGGACTACTAAATAAATATGAAACCCACTAAACACTGAGTATCTAATCAACCCAACAACGTAACATAATCATACGTTACATTGGTGACCCCGGAGAGTTTCGACGATACCCAGCCACGACGGACTGGGACATGGACTGTCACTGGACCTCTACTGCTGCTGCTTGCTGTGGACCGCAGCCACCTGTCATGGAGCGTTGCCAACACCCTCGCCACAGCTATGATTTTCATCGCGATCATCTCTGCCTTTTCATCTACTACGGCTTGCTGCTCCAAGATCGCTACTCACTCATCTGGCAGCTTCATCAGTAACTACATCTTGTGGGATCTACAGCCTGTCCTGCCGACTCTCCGTCGCTGCCAGGGCACTGCTTGCCATACAGGGACGCCCACGAAAGCTGCTCTTTCGTCAGATTCATCTACACGTTCACTGCATTCTGATACTCTGCCGACTCAAGCAACTTGCGCAGTACAGGACTTACAGCTTGCGTTTCAGACTCTAAGTCGCCTCCAGGACAATTCAGCTCTAGCAGTGATTCCCCTCGTTGTCCTAACTACGTGCCTACATTACCTCCGATTGTCCTGGTGCCCGAGCCCATCCGACCCGGATCTAAATGCTCCACTAGCGACCCAAGGACGCAACAATCAAGCACATTCTTCTCTCCTGCTACATCGAGCTTTTCCACACACTGCCTGCATCTTTTGGTACTGGACTACATGTTCCACAGCGACCCAGGGAACAGTAGCCTCGTATTTTTTGTTATACAGTATTGCTTTTCTTCCATTCCCTGGCAGGGGGAGTCCTGTAGCAAGTTAATCTTATACTCGCTCCATTATCTCATTATCTTAATAGCATAACTAATTGGCACTAATTACAGAAGCTACAATCCTTTCCCCAATTACAGGTAATACTCTTCTCACCTTGTTGGAGGAAGCTGAGGTGTAATCACCATATAAGCAACGATTTGATGAATAGAAAACAGTTCAAATTCCACAGTCAACAATGTAGCACTCGGAGTGTACAGTCCTGGTCGACCCGGGACGCTGCAGCTTCGACACAGAGCAGACAGCAGACTACGACCGCATCGAGCCGCCACGCTCTCGCTCCCCGAGTTCAGACACTCACAATTCTCAATCGAGCCGCCACGCTCTCCCACATAGAGCTCCACGACTCCGGCCTCACTCAGCTCTCTGCTCTGCTCCAGGCTTCGTCTCAACGTCTACAACACTGCTGCATCCAGGACTACTAAATAAATATGAAACCCACTAAACACTGTGTATCTAATCAACCCAACAACGTAACATAATCGTACGTTACAGCTCCATCTGCACATCCTCTTCCTTCCCTGTTGTACCTGGTTTGCACTCCCTCTGGTTCTCTTTCCCTGCTTCTGGCCCCAAAATAGATATGCAGAATAGAACAAGGATGCCAAAGGCACAATCAGAGAACACTCTCCATCAGAGGTCCACAGTTGTTCAACATCCTCCCAGCGAGTATAAGAAATATTTCTGGAACAAACATGGACAGCTTCAAGAGAAAACTTGGATAGTTTTCTTCAGGAAGTGCAAACTAATTGGGCTATAGTGGATATGTGGGCCTGCAGGCCGCTCCAAGCAACAGTCTAGTGGACCATGCTCTCTCACGTAAAACATGGTCCTGGGCCAGGCTTGGGGAATAGAAGAACTCTCAGAACCCTATCCAGGTACAATATTTGCCGAGTGGTGTAATAAGAAATTTGTACCCGAGGTGCAGGAGCACCTGAAAGGTGTTGGCCTCCCGCAGAATGGCAAAGCTGTGCTGCTGCTAGATAATCAACCCGTCCTCTTAAAAATAACGTCACTTTTGGCTCGTATGCACACTACGGCAAAATTTGGACGTAATTTGAAATGAAATCGACTCACAAAAGTGACGTACTGTTCCGTTTTCTGTTTGAGTCGTCCGGCCCTCCTCGGACAGCTTAGAAGAGGAACTTTCATTTAACGTTTTTCATAACATTTTGAAACTTTATGAGAATTTCCTGCCCACCTAACCTATCAGAGGACCCTTAATTTACTGTTGTTGAAAAAAAAAATCTCAAATTTATTTTCAATATTTTTTAATTTTCAAATTACATCCATATTCGGCCATACGGGCAAACGGCCAAAGGCGACGTTCTTTTTAAGAGGACAGGTTGAGATAATAGTGCAGATAATTGATAATTAGCTCATCCACTAGGTGATGAGCTAATAAATGGCAACATCACTGGTACATTCTTACCACCCAATACAACTTTACTGATCCAACCTGAGGATCAAGGGATAATTAAAAATCTAAAGCACAACTATAAGAGGATATTTGCCAGACGTGTCAATAATCAGCCAGGAAGAGTTAAGGACATTTTTTATAGTCTACACAATAAAGTCAGTTATCTGGACTATTGCTAGAGCATGGGGTGAAGTAAAGCTAACAACACTTAGACATGGTTGGAGAAAACCTTGGCATGCATCAGGTCAGTTTCCTGAGGAAGATGACGAGGGGCAGATGTTATTTATTTATTTTATTTATTTATTTATGCATATACAAGAATGTACATAAGGAATGTGAGGATACAAATATGGTAATTACAGTCTTGTAAAGCCACTAGCACGCGCAGCGTTTCGGGCAGGTCCTTAATCTAAGAAAATTTTAAGGAGGTAAATACTTGCAAAATTTATAGACAAAAAAATGATATCAGTTACATGAAATGAAAAAAAGAAGATGAGAGAAAATTGTAGGTACAGTATATTAAAGCACATAGGTAGCTAAGATTGATTACAATGACAGCTTGAATGGTAGTTGACAAAAATTGGTAGGCACAATACAGCAGAAACAATATAAGATTGATTGCAATGACAGCTTGAATGGTAGTTGACAAAAATTGGTAGTCACAATACAGCATATGGCTAGCACATAAAAGAAGACAGCAATGAACACAATGATAAGGTTGTTTGATATTACATAAAAATTAGGAGATTGGGTAACACTAGGTACAGAGCAAATTTAAAGCTCAGTGTAGGAAACTAAGAAGATGAAGTTAGGTACTTTTTGGTTTTGCTTTTAAATAAGGCAAAAGTTTTACAGTTTTTCAATTCACTAGGGAGTGAGTTCCATAGACTAGGTCCCTTAATTTGCATGGAGTGTTTACACAGATTAAGTTTGACCCTGGGGATATCAAAGAGATATTTATTTCTGGTGTGGTGATAATGGGTCCTATTACATCTGTCCAGGGAGAGTTTCAGAGCATGGTTTGCATTTAAGAACAGGGTTTTGTAAATGTAGTTGACACAAGAGAATGTGTGGAAGGAGTTAATATTTAGCAAGTTTAGGGATTTAAACAAGGGAGCTGAGTGTTGTCTGAAAGCAGAGTTAGTTATTATTCTGATAGCAGATTTTTGCTGTGTGATGATGGGCTTAAGGTGGTTTGCAGTGGTAGACCCCCATGCACAGATACCATAATTAAGATAGGGGTAGATTAGTGCATAATATAGTGAGAGGAGAGCAGAGTTAGGAACATAATATCTGATTTTGGAGAGTATACCAACTGTCTTAGAGACTTTCTTAGTTATGTGTTGAATGTGGGTGCTGAAGTTGAGTCTCTTGTCTAGGAATAGGCCAAGAAACTTGCCATCATTTTTATTACTGATGTTAATGTTGTCTATCTGTAGCTGAATTGCATTTGATGATTTGCTTCCAAATAAGATGTAGTAAGCCTTTTCGATGTTTAATGTTAGTTTGTTCGTTGACATCCATAAGTGGACTTTTTTTAATTCATTATTCACAACATTATTTAGTGTATGTGGGTTGAGGTTTGAATAGATAAGGGTAGTATCGTCAGCAAACAATATAGGTTTGAGAATATTAGAGACATTAGGCAGATCGTTTATATATATAAGAAATAGAAGAGGTCCTAAGATGCTGCCCTGTGGCACTCCAACGGTAATTGGTAGAGTGGAAGAAGTTGTATCATTGATGGTTACATATTGGTGTCTGTCACTAAGATAGGATCGGATGTAGTCAAGGGCAAGGCCTCGGATTCCATAATGCTGGAGTTTAAGTAAGAGGTAGTTGTGATTAACAGTATCAAAGGCTTTTCTTAGGTCAATGAAGAGTCCAATCGGAAACTCATTTTTGTCAAGGGCTGAGTAGATAATGTCAAGGAGACTAACGATTGCATCGTTGGTGCTCTTTTGGGACCGGAAGCCAAACTGGCAGGGGCTGAGTATGTCGAATTTTACGAGGTAGGAATAGAGCTGTTTGTAAATAATTTTTTCAAATATTTTTGATAGAATGGGTTGTTGAAGGATTTGGGGCCAAGAAAGTTAGCGAGAAGAACAAATTAAGAGAAGAACTCCTAGCCTGTGTCAGGGAGATTAAGTCCTCAGAACTGAGAGCAGAACTGGTGACAGAAACAGTAGAAGATCACATGGATAAATGGATACATTATGACCAAGAAGCCCCAACCTTTCAAACATTACTGATGATGAAATTATAAATTTATTTACAGAGAAAAAGCCAGAAGAGAACAATGAAGGTGATGGTAAAGAAGAGGATGAAGAAGTGTTAAAGAAAAAATGTAACAGGGAAAAAATTCAACAATATTGTGAAGGCATTCTGGCATTTATTGAAACAAGCAACAGTGAGTTGGACACTGAGAACATGATGAGCAACTGCAGTTTGTATAAGAAGTTTTTGCTAACAAGAGCGAAGGGAATGACAAATATTAATTAAAGCATCTTTTGCAATGGCTTCCAAAAAGTTCTCATTGAACTTTTCACAAACAGGTGAGTCACCTGCACCTGACTCAGCACATGTTGACCCAAATGCTTCAACATCTGAGGTTACCTCATCACCATTAGTCTCCACTTCAGTCAACCCAACATCATCAACATCCACTACCACCTCTTCAATCTAAATGACAATGCTCAATCAACAATAAGATTCAAGTTAGCAAGTGGAACAGGACTTCTCGTATTGGTGAGTACAAACAAAATACAGTACTGTACTGTCAAATTTATGCCATGAAATTGTCAAATTTTTCCCATAGATTTTCAGGATGACAGACCACATAAACGAACACAACGGGTAATCCGATAAGTCTCAGTCCCGAGGGGTTCATAAAGCATGTGGCTATCTGTATACCCATAACATGTGGAGGAAATCATTCACCATCTCAGAGTAAACAATCTAGTAAACACAACACAGGTTTGTTAAAAATAGATCCTGCCATACAAACCTGCTCACATTTTTGGAAACAGAAATCAGCTACTCAGACAAAAGACTTCCAGTGGATGTAGTATATATTTATTTAGCTAAAGCCTTGACAAGGTACCACATGAAAGACTAGCAAGGAAATTACAAATACATGAAATAAATGGTTGAATACTAGAATAGATAAAATAATGGGGGGTAAAGAAAGCAAGGGGTTGTCCTAAATATATGTGAGTGACTGAAGAAATGACAAATACAGTACATCAATGACATACATGAAAATATTACAATCATCATCAAATTTGCAGATCACACTAAGATTTATGGTAAAGTATGAAGAGAAAATGATATTGAGGCTTTACACTGAGATCTACATGAACTCCCCAAATGGTCAGAAGACTGGCAAATGCTTTTGGGAAACGAAAATGCAAGACCTTGCATGTGAGACATAACAATGCATGCCACAGTGATCAAATTAACAGCATTACCTTGCAGAAGAGTGATGAAGAAAAGGGCCTTGGAGACAGATTCCATCATTCACTGTAAATTGCACAAGTGGGAGCCATCATAAAAAAAAAGCTAACCAAACACTAGATATAGTCAAACAAATCTTTGACTTGATGGAAAAGTAGGTAGTCATTCAACTGTATAGATATCTCTGGTGCTTGAATTAATCACTTAGATTATTGTATCCGCGCATGGATACCTCATCTTCAGAAGGACACATCTCCACTGGAGAAAGTGCAACACCGGGCAACAAAAATCATTCCAGAACCAAGTCGACTCTCGTACCAGGAACAGTTGAGAGCCACAGGGTTAACGACACTGTAAACCAGACATAACAGGACTGATTCATCAAAACTTGTAAATTACTTAACAATTTGGAGGATCTTGATCCAAACCACTTGTTTAAAGGGTCAGTTGTAACATGAATAAGGCCCAGTGTTTTCAAGTTCAACAAGCCACAATGTAGGACTGAGAACAGGAGATGCTTTTTCATCCATAGGGTTATAAACCCATAGAACCACCTACCCGCTGAAGCCATAAATGCCAAAACACTGAATATCAAAATCCATCTTGGGAAAAATCAAGACAAATGGAGGAGGGGGACCTCTGACAAGCCGCCAACTTCCTGTCCTTGTCGAGGCTACTAGAGAGAGAGAGAGAGAGAGAGAGAGAGAGACCCTCAGGTAAATTCAGGTAAATTATATTTATTAAAATACTTCATTATAACAATCAAATGTGCTTTACATTTACTACAATATTAATTATTTTATCATGAAACAAATATTACAAGTCTGTCATACTGTAAGTTTAAAAGAGACCTATTCCTTATTTATCTTTTAAAAGGAAGGTCACTAGATACTGATAAGTTTATCATACATAGAATATCTATCATTCCATAATCTTAGTACAGTACTTCTCTTATTAACATGAATAAATATATTCTAAGGAATACAATATATATACTGTAACAGAAGTACATTGTACCTCTTTAGTGTTGCGTGTATATATTCGGCAATAGGGCTGTGGTGCCATCAATTCCCCTCTACTGCCACGCCGGGACAATATACTCAAGTCGTCAGGATCCAATGATTCATGATGCTCGTCAACATTCAACCTGCACGGAAACACTATAGGTCTTTATAAACTGTATACAGTACTACAATTCTAAAAATTACTCACGTTAAAAGGGGTCATTTACTAATTTTAAAATATTGAAAAGTACAGAACTTCATATGAACAAACTTCTATATAATGGTTTATATCACAGTAAATTCAGGTAAATTATTTTCTTCATGTTCAAAAACAATACAAATCAATAATTTTTTATGATCAAACAATAATGAGTCAGATAGAAATGATCCTCAAATTATACTACAATGTACCTCTTGATAATTCTCAAACTTCACTGTAATGTAACTACCAATTTTCTTCAAATTTCTTACAATGAACCTGGTAACATTTTTCAATTTTGCTTCAAATTACCTACTTAAATTTATCTGTTAGATTAAGGACCTGCCCAAAAATGCTATACATGCTAGTGGCTTTACAAGAATGTAAAATTATCAATGCAATGTACTGTACTCTCATAAATACAATGTACTCTCTTGTATATATATATAAATAAATAAATAAAAATTTACAAAATAGTAATAGTCTAATAGAGAGAGAGAGATACCCCACAGAAATAGTAATAGTATTAAATGACAAACCTTAAATCAGATGTAAATCAGGTCTTTCTATGGGGTACAGAAAATAATATGGTGTTTAACGAAGATAAGTTCCAGCTCACATGCTACGGAAAAAATGAAAATATAAAACGGAAACCACGTACAAAATGCAGTAAAATCATAACATAGAATGAAAAAAGCATTGAAAAGGATTTGGGTATACTCATGTCGAAAAACTTTACCTTTAAGGAACACAATAAAGTAGCCGTCACAACTGCAAGAAAAATGGCAGGTGGGATAACAAGAACTTTTCACACTAGAGATGCTATACCGATGATGATACTCTTCAAGACGCTAGTGCTCTCTAGAGTGGAGTACTGCTGCACAATGACAGCCCCTTTCAAACCTGGAGAAATTGCTGACCTGGAGAGTGTGCAGAGATCCTTTACTGGTAGAATACACTCAGTAAAACATCTAAACTATTGGGACCGACTAAAGAGCCTAAATCTGTATTCTCTTGAGCGCAGGCAGGAGAGATACATAATAATTTACACATGGAAAATAGTAGAGGGGCTGTTCCCAAATCTGCACACAGAAATAACATCACATGAGACCAGAAGGCATGGCAGGATGTGCAGAATACCCCCGTTGAAGAGCAGAGGTGCAACAGGTACTCTGAGTGAGAACTCTATTAACATCAGAGGTACCAGCCATGCCGCCTGGTACCTTTAGAAACCCAACATTCAGTTTGCAACTTATTTTGTATGAATGTACTTTTACCTGAATAAACATTATTATTATTATCATTATACTTTGCGTGGGAGGTGGCACGCAACCTGGTAGCTTTGCGTGGGAGATGACTATGGGGCTGCATGCACCCTTTCCGGGAGCGGCGACTACAAAACTCGTCCCTTTCAGGGGTAAAATAACGTTTTATTAAGACTTGTTTAAAAAATAACATCAGCAGGTGTTCCATCAGCTGGTGCTCCACCACATGGTGCTCCATCAGCTGGTGCTCCACCACATGGTGCTCCACCACATGGTCCTCCACCACATGGTGGTCCACCTGGTGCTCCACCACCTGGTGCTCCTCCACCTGGTGTTCCTCCACCTGGTGTTCCACCACCTGGTGCTCCTCCACCTGGTGTTCCACCAACTGGTGCTCCTCCACCTGGAGATCCACCACCTGGAGATCCACCACCTGGTGATCCACCACCTGGTGCTCCACCACCTGGTGCTCCACCACATGGCCCTCAACCACCTGGTGTTCCATCACCTGGTGCTCCACCACCTTGTGCTCCTCCACCTGGTGTTCCACCACCTGGTGCTCTGCCACCTGGTGTTCCACCACCTGGTGTTCCACTACCTGTTGCTCCATCACCTGGTGTTCCACTACCTGGTTCTCTGCCACCTGGTGTTCCACTACCTGGTGCTCCGCCACCTGGTGTTCCACCACCTAGTGCTCCACCGCCTGGTGCTCCACTTGGTGTTCCACTACCTGGTGCTCCACCTGGTGTTCCATTACCTGGTGCTCCACCTGGTGCTCCACACCACTTGGTGCTCCACCACATGTGTTCCACCACATGTGTTCCACCACCTGGTACTCCACCTGGTGTTCCACTGCCTGGTGTTCCACCGACTGGTGCTTCCCCACCTGGTACTCCACCTGGTGTTCCACCACCTGGTGCTCCTCCACCTGGTGTTCCACCACCTGGTGCTCCACCTGGTGTTCCACCTGGTACTCAACCTGGAGCTCCGCTGCCTGGTGTTCCACAACCTGGTGTTCCACCACCTGGTGCTCCACTGCCTGGTGCTCCACCGCCTGGTGCTCAACCACCTGGTGCTCCACCGCCTTGTGTTCCACCGGCTGGTGCTCCACCGCCTGGTGCTCCACCACCTGATGTTCCACCGCCTGGTGCTCCACCACCTGGTGTTCCACCACCTAGTACTCCACCAACTGGTGCTCCAAAACCTGGTGCTCCACCGCCTAGTGCTCCACCGCCTGGTGCTCCACCGCCTGGTGCTCCACCACCTGGTGCTCCACCACCTGTTCCTCCACACCTGGTGTTCCACCACCAGGTGTTCCACCACCTGGTGCTCCACCTGGTGTTCCACCACCTGGTGCTTCACCACCTGGTGTTCCACTACCTGGTGCTCCACCACCTGGTGCTCCACCACCTGGTGCTCCGCCATCTGGTGTACCACCAACTGGTGCTCCGCCATCTGGTGTTCCACCAGCTGGTGCTCCGCCATCTGGTGTTCCACCAGCTGGTGCTCCGCCATCTGGTGTTCCACCAACTGGTGCTTTGCCACCTCGTGTTCCAAAACCTGGTGCTCCGCCACCTGGTGTTCCACCACCTGGTGCTCCACCACCTGGTGCTCCACCACCTGGTGCTCCACCACCTGGTGTTCCACCACCTGGTGCTCCACCACCTGGTGCTCCACCGCCTGGTGTTGCACCACCTGGTGTTCCACCACCTGGTTTTCCACCGCCTGGTGCTCCACCTAGTGTTCCACCACCTGGTGCTCCACCGCCTGGTGTTCCACCACCTGGTGCTCCACCGCCTGATGCTCAACCACCTGGTGTTCCACCACCTGGTGCTCCACCGCCTGGTGCTCCACCTGGTGCTCCACCGCCTGGTGCTCCACCTGGTGCTCCACCGCCTGGTGCTCCAGCACCTGATGTTCTACTGCCTGGTGTTCCACCACCTAGTACTCTACCTGGTGTTCCACCACCTGGTGCTCCGCCGCCTGGTGCTCCACCACCTGGTGCTCCACCACCTGGTGCTCCACGACATCGTGCTCCACCGCCTGGTGTTCCACCGCCTGGGGCTCCACCACCTGGTGCTCCACCTGTTGCTCCACACCTGGTGTGCCACCAGGTATTCCACCACCTGGTGCTTCACCTGGTGTTCCACCACCTGGTGTTCCACTAACTGATGTTCCGCCACCTGGTGTTCCGCCAACTGACGTTCCGTCACCTGGTGTTCCGCCACCTGGTGTTCCACCACCTGGTGCTCCGCCACCTGGTGTTCCACCACCTGGTGCTCCGCCACCTGGTGTTCCACCACCTGGTGCTCCGCCACCTGGTGTTCCACCACCTGGTGCTCCGCCACCTGGTGTTCCACCACCTGGTGCTCCGCCACCTGGTGTTCCACCACCTGGTGCTCCGCCACCTGGTGTTCCACCACCTGGTGCTCCTCCACCTGGTGTTCCACCACCTGGTGCTCCGCCACCTGGTGTTCCACCACCTGGTGCTCCGCCACCTGGTGTTCCACCACCTGGTGCTCCGCCATCTGGTGTTCCACCACCTGGTGTTCCGCCACCTGGTGCTCCACCACCTGGTGTTCCACCACCTGGTGCTCCACCACCTGGTGTTCCATCACCTGGTGTTCCACTACCTGGTGCTCTGCCACCTGGTGTTCCATCACCTGGTGTTCCACCACCAGGTATTCCACCACCTGGTGCTCCACCACCTAGTGTTCCACCCTGGTGCTCCACCACCTGGTGTTCCACCCTGGTGCTCCATCGCCTGGTGTTCCACCCTGGTGCTCCACCTGGTGCTCCACTACCTGGTGCTCCTCCACCTGGTGTTCCACTACCTGGTGCTCCTCCACCTGGTGTTCCACTACCTGGTGCTCCTCCACCTGGTGTTCCACTACCTGGTGCTCCTCCACCTGGTGTTCCACTACCTGGTGCTCCTCCACCTGGTGTTCCACTACCTGGTGCTCCACCACCTGGTGTTCCACCACCTGTTGCTTCATCGCCTGGTGTTCCACCACCTGTTGCTCCACCGCCTGGTGTTCCACCACTTGGTGCTCCACCTGGAGTTCCACTACCTGGTGCTCCAACTGGTGCTCCACCTGGTGTTCCACCGCCTAGTGCTCCACCGCTTGGTGCTCCACCTGGTGTTCCACCGCCTGCTGCTCCACCACCTGGTGTTCCACACCACCTGGTGCTCCATCACCTGGTGTTCCACCACCAGGTCCTCGACCTGGTCCACCACCTGGTACTCAACCTGGAGCTCAACTGCCTGGTGCTCCACCGCCTGGTGTTCCACCACCTGGTGTTCCACCGCCTGGTGCTCCACCGCCTGGTGCTCAACCACCTGGTGCTCCACGGCTTTGTGTTCCACCGCCTGGTGCTCCACCGCCTGATGTTCCACCGCCTGGTGCTCCGCCATCTGGTGTTCCACCAACTGGTGCTCCGCCATCTGGTGTTCATCCACCTGGTGATCCACCACCTGGTGCTCCACCGCCTTGTGTTCCACCACCTGGTGCTCCACCACCTGTTCCTCCACCACCTGTTCCTCCACACCTGGTGTTCCACCTCCAGGTGTTCCACCACCTGGTGTTTCCACCACCTGGTGCTCCACCACCTGGTCCTCCACCACCTGGTGTTCCACCAACTGGTGCTCCGCCATCTGGTGTTCCACCAACTGGTGCTC